GACTTTACTTTATCACCGTCCCTCACTGCTGTTTCCCTTATCCTATAAACAGAAATTGCCAACATTTCTTCCACTCTCCACTTTTCCTATTTTCCAAGCTCTGAGAATTTGAGCTAAGAGATCACCCTGGCTTTGGGGCAGGGATCGCTGAACCAGGATTCAGAACTCATGGATTCAACTCGTGACTGGCTATATGATTCTGAAATTGCATCTCTCTCCTTAAAACCTAAATTCTCCCATCTGTAAAATTAGATTACTAATCTATAATCCTGTGAAGGTGTGAAGAAAGAACAGTTAATAATTTGTCGTGTAATGTTAGCTCTTGGTAAAAAGTTTCAAAATGAAAACGATTTTCATCCAAAGGTATGAAACTGATTGTTAAAATTTAACATTCATTCATAGCACTTACCATGTGCCGTAAAAACATTAACTCAACAGCCTCAACAGCAGTGCTATGAGACAGGTTATCTGTTACCACCACCTTCTCCATTTCACAGAAGCACAGAGAAGCAGATCAACTGGTCCACGGCTATACAGCTAGTTAGTGACAGTCAGGAGTCACATCCCGGCGGTGGCTCGCTGATGGAGACCAGTTACTACGCAGTCACCAACTGCGGAACTGCTGCTGTTTATTTACTTCTAATTGTGTCACTTCCTTGTTCAAAAACCTCCAGCGGCCCTTGAACTAAAGTAAAATAAGTTCAACTCATTTGCTTAGCAATGAAGACCGTCTAGAGACCTTTCTTTTGTTCCTTTGTTTCATCCCCCTTAAAATCCTTCATCCCGTCCACCCCCATCCCCCACCCGTGCTCCGGCTCAGCTGGACCCGTCGCTTTATCTGGAATCTACCTTTTCTAAAACCCCTCTCCATCTTCTGTATTTTACACTGCATCTTCAAGTTCCTTCCAAAGTGCCATTTCCTTGATACATTTTCTCCTGCAACTCTCAATCCCAGCCGGTTGGTTTTTTTTCCCCCCAGAATTTTTTCTCCCCTCTCTTCTCTGCGTGGTATTGGTTCCTGGCTTTTATGATAGTTCTTTCTGTATATGTTATATTCCCTCCCTAACAAATGGTGGGATCTTTCAGGGCTGCAATATGCTTTCTCATAGAACTTTAAAGTTTTTTTTATTAACAGTTAAAATCATTATTGTTCTTCTTTGATAACCAAACGTATGCAGGCTTATTGCAAAAAAATTAAACATCACAGAAGTAAGTCTCCTAGTGAGATCCATCAGTATAGCCCCTCCTCCCCGACCCTAAGAGAACAGTTGACAGTTTGGAATGTAGGTTTTTTTTTTTTTCAATTGAAATACAGTCAGTTACGATGTGTCAATTTCTGGCTGTAGCACGATGTCCCAGTCATGCATATACATACATATATTCGTTTTCATTAAAGGTTATTACAAGATACTGAATATAGTTTCCTGTGCTATACAGAATGTAGTCTTTTAGGCTTTTGTGTGTGTGTGTGTAATAAACATGTATTCCTTTTTATTTACAGAAATGGGACTGTACTATACGCAGGAGCTTTATACTTTTTTTAACCACTTAATATATTTAGTATTTTTCATATAGAGATGTATCCCATTACTAAAAAAAGAAAAGCTGTTAAAAAAAAAAACAGCTGCATAGTATGAGATTGTGTGGTTGTGACAATACTTACCTGTTCAGTCCCCCTGTTAAACACAAAAGTGATTTTCAATTTTCACCCATAGGATCACTGCTGCAATGAATACGTGTGTGTGTTCCGTATACACACAAGCGCACACACTCCGTATTGCACTGTCTGTATTTCCAGATGACTCTCTGTAGGACAAATCCTTGGACATGAAATGGCTAGCTGAAATGGAATGGAGATTCTACACGATGACAATTCTTGAAAATGTGGAGGGAAAAGAGTCTGGTTTTATGTCTTCCTGTATCCTTCACAAACTTAGTGGTGAAGAGGGCAGACTCTAGTAACAGACTGCTCAGGCTTGTATCTGGGTTTGGTCCCTGTATTTTAATCACCTCATCTATAAATGGGGAGTAGGACTTGACTCCCAGTGTTGTTAAGACTTAAATGAGATAATATGTGTAGAGCAATTAGCATTTTAGTAAGTAGCTGGAAAATAAGTAAGTGTAAGATTTACCGGAGGAAAAATGGTTTATAGATTTGGATAATTGCTGAATGAATAGTATGAAATAGAACAATAGTAATTTGAGTAATCTTCCTAGAAATGGCTGGTACTTTGCTATCAAAACCAATAGCAACTCTTTATAAAATGACCAGCTAGCATTATAAGTGCGATTGCTTTGGAGCAATGTATGGCCTCTGTGCAAAATTATCTGGGTTGAACCAGGCACAACCACTGACCTTGGCCTCTTCAGTTGCACACTTTCCCCAGCTGAACGAACTGGCCCCAGCCGCAGCCTGGAACCTTATATAATGGGTGTGTCTAAGGACAGAGAACAATGCGCTTCCCCCGAGGGTGCGTGGGGCTCACCACTGAAGGTTGTCAGGGTGTCTAGTTACCCAGCCGTGAAGACTGAAAATAAACAGAAAGTGCATAAATGGCTAGAGTATAAGGCTCTCTGTTTAAATTCTTAGGTTCTGGGCTAGTAGTCTTCATCTTCACGGAGAGATTTCTGTATCAGTACTAGACAATTCTGGGGATAGTCGACTCCAGAAACATCTCTGCCACTAACTAGCCACAGAACCTCGAGCAAATTGTTGAACCTCATTTTGCACCGATACAACAGGGGGCTGAAATGGCTGATGTGAAAGGTCCTTTCTGACATTCCTTTCCCCACAAGCAGAATCACATTTTCAGACACCAGGATTGTTTATTGCAGTGAGAAAAAAAAATGAATGCATAAAAATCAGAATATGGAAATACTTTCAAAATATGTGGGTCAGGAGATGGCAAAAGGACCACAGCAGGGCTCGCACTCAACTGACACCCGCTCGGTGGGGCCACTACAAGTGGGGATGGTCGGGGTCCTCAGAGGAAGCATAGGAAATACAGGGAGGAGGGGGTGGACTCAGGGCAGAAATTGTAGTCTGACTGGAGCCAGGTCCTGGCTGGGAGGCAAACGTGGCAGTAAGTGAGGCTCTCAGTGAAGTCCAAGCATCACCCAAAGTTGCACTAATGACCTTCTCCCCAGCCCAACAGGTACACTTCCATCCCCCTCACCTTCCTGGTCCATAGGAGTCAAATTGTACCCATCTTTTCAGGCCCATTTCAAAATCTACCTCCTTCTTGAGGAACCCCTTCCCCACCACCTCCTAACCCAACACACAAACACACACACATACACACACACAATTGCACCTCGCTCCTCTAAAGGCTGCCAGCACTTGCCTTCGGTACTATTCACAGCACTTCCAGGAGGGATACCAGGCTGCCTCAACCCCTTAGTGACACTTGGAGACCCCAGGCCAATGGCTCCTCTTTGCCTCCCAGGCATCCAATACAGTAGTGCTCAGAAAATATTTGTGGTTCCGTGATTGAGTGACTCAGACAGGCCCCACGGGGAGAAGAGTTTCATGGGTTTTTAATATGAACCATACCATGGAATCTGAGACTTTTATCTTATTGCTCAGACTGGAAACCGTCAGTTCCAGTCAGATTTGCTGGGAGTCAGAGGGAATTTGGTTCCTTTTCGCGCAGAAAACCATAATCTAATTTTTAAAGTCAAAAACATTTACATAGCGCTTGCTTCATGTTTGGCTGTAATCGAAACACTTTACAAATGTTCCCTCATTTACTCTTCATAACCATCCAGATGTAGAAAGTGAAGGCGCCCAAAGGTTGTCACTTGCCCTGAGATCAAAGCTAGTAAGCACCAGAGCTGGGATGCAACCCCAGGCCATCTGGTTCCAGAATATATGCTCTGCCTGAAATTTATGTGAGTGGCAAAAATCTTCATGAGCAGAAAAAAAAATGACATTGATGTATTTATTTCAAAGGAAATTTTTTTTCATGTGTCCCCCTTTCCTTCCTCATTCAAAGCAAAATGTTCTAAAGCTAACAGTCTTTTTTCACACCTGAGAGAGCCAGGGGCTCTTTTTTTTTTTTTTTCGCTCTGACAATCAAAATGGAAGAGGAAACTTGTGTGGTTTCTTCGCTGGTGTTTTCGGGGTGTGGGCTGCGCTGCGGGTGGTCCTTCAGCCTACCTCCAGGCTGATGCGGCTCCCCCCCCCCCTTCCTCTCCAGGCTTCGTTGCCTCAGGTCCTGGAGACTTTTAACAGCCTGCCTTTCCCCCTCCAACACTGCGATATGGACCCGCCTTTCCGGCACTCCCGCCTGATCCAGACTTTGAGCCTCAAGGGTCTTCTTAGGCCCACCCCTTCGTCAAAGCCCCGCTGGACCCAGATCTTGTCAAATGCATTTGCATCAGAATCCCCAGAAATCGCAGCTCGAGGTCTTTCATCCCAGGGTGAATCCACTCCATTTCTGTTTCGGAAGTTAAGTGCCTGACTTCTTGTATATTTAAATATCTATCTCGCCGCGTGGGAGGCCAGCGTCAGAACCCGACAGACCAGCCATTGATTAACTGTTGGACCCAGGGCAAATTACTTAACGTCTCTGAGTCTCGGTTTCCTCATCATGAAGGGGATTGATACCCATGGGTTGCCGCGTGGATCCAAAGAGAGAACGCAGAAGCTGCACCGGCACCCAGCGCAACTCTTGGGTTCCTCTTGGCAACATTACTTAATACCTGCTGGTCTGTTTCCCATGTTTTTGCAGAGCACCGTCTCACTCTGAGGGCTACAAGGTCGTCTTGGCGCCACATTCTGATAAAGCCCCTACTCACCCTTGTTAGAACGGAAGACCCCACTGGGCTCCTGGGGCACATTCTGACAACCTGGGGGAACCTGCGCTGCTTCTTTTGACTCTGACGCTAAACCTAACTCCGCGGACCCAGATGGCTTAAGGGCGCCGGGTCCGAGGGAGGCCCTGCTGAAGCCTCCGGAGGTGGCGTGGTGGGAGGCTTTGCCTTTGGGAAGAAGAAATGGGATCAAGAGAGAGCCTGCGCTCCGGCTCG